CATCCAGATTCTTCACCTGTGCCACTCACTCCAGATTATGGTGGCCCAGTTGTTAGTTATGCCGATGGGGTGTTTGATGCACGGTTTAACCGGTTTGTCACTGTCCAGGAAGGTATGTGGATGTGGATGTGGATGTGGCGCATTAGTATAAGCATGTTCTTCTGCTTTTCGTTTCTACATAGTCAATAAGGCATTTATGTGTCAATCCCATTTCTCATTTAGTGTAGATCGTCGTCAAAGCAGTACTAATTCGACAACAACAATTGTAACAGTAGGGCTAGATGGCAAGAACATTCGGGGTAAGAGGTTGTCAAAAACCCATGTCTTGCTTCATTTTCCTATGCCATAGTATATGTGTAACACTAAAAGTATTGCAGTACATCTGATATTATTTAACTAATGCGGGTATCATGTAACATCCAGAACCAGAAGTACTAATAGGCGGAACTGATTTCTATGCTTTCCCGCGTTTGGATCCCAAAGGTGAACGACTGGCATGGATTGAATGGTGCCATCCTAACATGCCATGGGACCAGGCTCAACTTTGGGTTGGGTATATATCCGACAGCGGGTAAGCAAATCATTTTTCAGGATTCATTCTCTTCTTCAGTTCCAAAATTTATCTTTACAAGAAACATTAGGTCACCACTGAAGACACTAATATTTCAAAGTATGGCTTGTAATATGCACACTTCGTGCATTCTTTGAGTTCTATTCACATATGATGTAGTTATATTTACTCAATACTGTTATAAAGGTGCATATAAGAATAACATTTTTTACATAGCTTTTTTGTCCTTCAGTAACTCTGTTCTTCTTCTTGCTGTTGTCCTACTCTATGGTCACTTGGTTTAATAATAAATCCATATCCATTATTGGAGGTTCATTTTTTAAATTCTGAACGGATTTGTATCTGCTCCATGCAGAGAAGTCCATAAACGAATCTGTGTTGCTGGCTCTGATCCTACGATTAAGGAGTCTCCAATTGAACCCAAGTGGTCCTCTAAAGGTACCCTTTTT